ACTATCACCAACTGGCATCAGATCGTTTCTTTTCCGTCAATTTGGAAGAGTTTTTCTCATCTTTTCCTTGCACTGCTTGCAGTGCTTGCTGGGGGTCCTGGAAGTCTTGGGCTTCCCTCTCATTTCCGGCCCTGTTCCCTGTCGGTTTGTTGGGCTCGGTGCCTATTATCGCGACGGTTCGACCCCAGCTTTTTCGTCCACCCTTCCCGCTTGCCCAGCCTCCCCCGTCATGACCCTAGGCATCTCATCTTAAAAATATGGGAAAATTCCCACGAGGCGTACGGATACAGCTGCAAGCCTGCAAATCCCAGGTGCCCGGAGTCAGGTTGGAAGCCAGGGTCATGTTGACGAGGTTGACGAGGTTGGCGGGCTGGCCAGGGCAGGGCGAGGCGAGGCGAAATGGAAAGAAGACATGGATCCTTCGTCATTTGCGGCGCTTCTTCTTTCATCCGCCAGGAGTCGGGGCTCAATTTCCAGAAACACACGGAGGCGCTTCCGTACATCATACAGAGTGTTGGCAGAGTTACAGATGTATCATCGTCTCATTCGGTAACACGCAAAGTGACAGTCAACACCCATCATCCCCGGCCGGCAAACCAGTTCCATCTACTCCGTACGGACATAGACTAATTACAGAACACTCAATACTTACACCAAACTATCCATGGATACGAATCGTTGGTGTCTATACGGACGTGACGGAGTACGGATACACCAAGTTACCAACAAGGTTGTGTGAGTTGGATGATTCAGAGCAATCACTCGCGGGAATGCAACTGGTCCAGATGGATGGCCCCCGGATGCGACGCCGCGATGCCCCGACGATGCGGTTGGTTGTCGATTGGAATTCCGTTGGATGCCCGAATTTCCTCCATTCCTCTCCAGACAACCACCGACATCACCAACAAGCCCAAAGTCCCAACCCTGACCACCACCTTCACCCATTCCAACAAGCGAGAAACCCCCCGAGCGAACGCGCAACACAACCCGGAACCGCAACCGCATCCGCATTCAAACGAAATGCGACGACAACCATCAACTTACGAATACACCCGTTCGTGGGTGGATGGATGGCTGGATGGATGGATGGCTGGATGGATGGATGGATGGATGGATGGTGTGCCTTGCTCAGCTTGCTTCTGACTGTGCTGCCGCTGACTAGTAGCTACCATGCTCCCCCAACATCCAATGTTTCCGAACCGCAGAACTGACACCTAAGACGTCCAACCTAATTCCTATTCCAGACGCAATACGACTCAAACAACGGGTATATTACACATGCACTCACACACACCAGGGAAGGCGGTGACAAGGCGCATACCGATAATTCAGACCGCCCTGTCTCTACCGTGTACAGCACACCGAACAGGCTTACCGCCTGGTTATCGCTTCTGCTCCCTGCCTGTAAGATGCAACTTGCCTGCCTATTCAGAAAGCAACATACCGGCGACTTGCCATTCGTGCCTTTTTCAAATGCTCGTTACCGTCGCAAATCAATACGGCCGTGCTGACTGGGCTCTGGCTCAGCCCGCGGCGAATGCTTTCCCGGCCTGAGTCAGACTGGGGGTGGCGCATTCGTGATTCCATTCCATTTACAATGACCTTCGGATACGTATTGATACTCAGTTTAAGTCTGTACACGGCGGTACCACCCACCTTTGTTTCCCCGGATCGTCCAAGCTGTAGTTGCGGCGGCGGTGGTGGTGGTGGTTTGTGGAGGGTGTGTATGTGTGTGTCGCCAGCCTTGGGATGAGAACAGTCAGGCCAAATCAACCCCTTTGTCAGTGACTCAGGGCCTGAGTTGTTGATTGATTGCTGACCCGAGTGACCTCACCTAAGAATAGGGTACGGATGGGCAAGGAAAAGCCGTTACGCTGCGCAGCGGAGGAACCTGTAAGTTTGTGTTCCTCCGCTTCCACATCCCTCGTTCTTGTTGGTCGCACAAACGAAGAAACGGCGAGATCGTATTGGGTCTCGAACGCGAGTTTGCGACGGGCGGGAGAGGAGAGGGGCCCCTCCCCCGCGAATAAGCCATCTTCATCACCGTTTGCGTCGTCAGCATTCAGCAACGACAACGGATTTGTTGCAGCCCATTTTCGAATGAGATGACGGAGGCAGCAACTCGCAATATGAGTGGTCCCCGCCATCAACGGCAGAGTCTCGTCCCGAATTCGGGGTTGTGCCACACCGCAGGGCATCCCGTTCCTGGACCTGCCAATTGTGCCCTTGCCTTGGCTTTGTAAAAGGGCGGCGGGAATGTATCCCGCAGGCACGCAAGGGGGTGTGAGAGAGTGATAGATGCTAGATCAACCTTCAACCACCAGCTGGGCAAGCATTTCCAGATATCCGAGCATACAGCGAGCTAACACGCAGGGGAAACCCTCTTTGGCAATTCAGAAAGCTGAAGGCGGTCATGGCCCATGGACCTATCGAGACTGGCTGACAACTTAATTCCAAGACAGACAAGATGGACAGCGATCGTTCTGGACTTGATCGCGGCAGGCAACATTCTTTAGAGTTTTGCATATTCCCTGCCCATCGATTGCCCTGATTTTCTATTTCGTCCAGTGTCTGGCAATGACTCCAACGAGTAACTTGTGAAACAAGCTCGACGACGACAAATGCCACCGCAGCAGCAGTAGCAGCGGCAGCACATGCCTGACGGGCGAGCGGCGGCGCGGTTGCAATCGAGTCGCATACGGTCCGTGCCAACTACGGGACTTACTCGACGATCAACACCCAGCGGTAGGTAGCCGAGGCGGTAGCACCAGTAGGTCGAAAGGAAGAAGCAGAAAAGATCAGACTGAAACGGGATTAAACCACGTACGGCTATGTTCCCCTTCGCAGTCAAGCTCTTTGGGGTAGCCACAGACAGTGTGGTTATCGACACCGACGCCACACCGAGCAAAGCACCGCAAATCGCTTCCGCCTGCCACTTCTTTTTCCGCAGTCTCCCCTCAGGACCCTTTCACAAGCTTGAGATGGCTGAGGGAGAGAAGCCGAATAGGACCCCGAAAAAAAAGGAAGCCATCACAAGCGTCTCCGTTCCCGCAAGGCCCGGCGTTGCATCTATTTGCAACAAGTGCACCGAGCACAACCACGCACCGGAACAGCCACCGCGGCATCGTCGACCTACCCAAAACCGCAACGCCCGACCACAGACCGCGCGACGACACGACGCCAACGCCAAATAAAAACCCTTTAGCTATCTATCTATTGGCGGGTGTCGCGATTCATGGTGGTAGCGTTCACCCCCTGGACCAAACGCGCACCGAGCGACCGGAAGGATGCCCGCGGGGCTAGGTAGGGGGGGGAGGACCGGGTTACAGACACCAGAGAACCAGGAATTGAGATTGTCCGCCCTGGACGACCTTCTAGAAAGCCGCTAGACGGTTTTTTCCCTTCTTAGCCTCCTTCTTCTTCCTCCCCTTGCGACCGCGGAAGGGTGTGTGTGGGTGTGGGTGTTTGGGTGTTCCCTGTCCCGGTTCATCCCCCCGTCCCCCGAAATTGGACCGGCTGCGGGTTGTGGGACCCGTAGAAGAGAAGAGCAGAAAGCGTGGTTTGCGTGGATGTGTGGATGCAGTTGCGGCAGGGGGTCCTGTTCCGGTCTAGCGGGTGATTGCGCGCTCTTCTCCCTGACGTGCTGCTGCTTTGAGCGTTTGGGTATTTGTGATTTGCAGTTTGCAGTTTTGCCCTAGGACTTTCCGGCTCTTGCTCGGTTGCTGCCGGATTAGTCTACCGGGTGGATGGAGGGAGGGCAACGGAAATGGTCATGCAGTGTGTGGAATGCATAACTTCCCCCTTCCCTCCCCCTGAGTTATGCTCCCGGAAACGGTGGCTGCGAAACGGTCAGACCGTTTTGGGATTGTGGGACTGCTCGCCCCGAGGCCATAATACACCATTGAAGGATATCCCCATCGATCGGGGAAGTTTGTCAAAAAGGGATCTGCGTTCGGCGTTCCAGAGCCGTTGAGCCTTATTGCGGTTCCATCTCGTGGAGATGAAGATGGAGATTCCGCAACCGCCGGCCGAGAGATTGGGGGTGTTCTAGCTGACAAGAGCGTCGTTCATCTCTTGTTCGTCGCGTGCGTTGGAATTTTGGTGGTCTTACATCAGCCATTCTTACGCGGTATGCTTTGGGTGCAGGGCCTGTGGAGGTTCACCGGTCTCGTCGTACGGGTTGTCAGATCGTGGGGGATCATCGGGGTGAGTTTGACTGATCAGTGATAGGCTGAACGGTCTGACTGAGAGCAGAGCCGCTTATGAGAGCAGCTTACAGATGGCGTGCTGAGTCAACTGCTTCTGGCTTGGGGCCGTTGGGTTACTGGGAGATGCGGCTTTGCGGCGAGGGGAGAAGTAACGTGTCAGTGTTGTTGTTGTCCTTTGAGTTGCGGTGAACTTGAGCATTGGGACAGATATCACTGTTCGTATACCTGTTGCCGTGCTGTGTGACTTGGTTCTAAACAAAAGCGAGGCTTCTACAAGGCTTTACGTGGTTAAGCGGCCTCCTACAGAGGATCTCCTTTCTTGTGTGAGGATATTGGGTCACATATCGCAAGGAATGGGGTTTCTAGATCTCAAGATAGATAGCCTAGTTGGATGAAAAGGCCACTGACCTGCTTCGTGGAGACAAAGTCAACTCGTGAGGCTTATTGAGATTCATCCGGAACCATGCATGAATGGGCACACCGAGTTTACACTTACACCAAACCTCACACCCAAACCAACAAACCCTCCCAACGATCGATCGTGCTTAGCTCCATCGAAATGGAAGAATCTATTCGCCGTAGTAAGACACGCTACTGTCGCTACATTTATGCCAAACAATAGTCTCTCCGCTCCAGTCTAATCCTACCCAACGCCGAGATCGAGGTTCCTCGACGCCTCGGGCCGGATGTACATCGACGAGAACGGGGTGGAGCAGAAGTGGGTTTGAACTGCCTAGCCGCGTTCGTCTCGTGTCGTGGAAAGAGAGTTTAAGGAGATGCAGACCTTGTGTGATGGTGGTCCAGGGGAGTTGGAGGCTGTTGAGGGGGGTGGGGCCCGGAGACGGGGATCGGGATCGGGATCGGGGTGGGTACCGGAGTGGGACAGTAAGAATGAGGCCAAGGCCGTCTTTGAGACTCGTGTATCATGTTGGAGATGCCGGATCTGAGAAGGGGGGTTCATTTGACTGGCGGCGGGTATTATCTCGAGACTTGGAGGGTGGAGGATGAGGATGGGGAAGGGGGGGTGGTTTGCTTGCTGAGACGAGGTTGCGATCGTTATTTTCGAAGACGGCGAGTCTCTGAGAGGTATTGTGGTGTTGAGAGAGATGTCTGAGTTAAGATTTTGTTGATTGTGGTTGTGGTTGTGGTTGAGGGTTTCAAGGCTGTCTTGAACCGGATGCGGTACGTTCGAGGGGACATGCTCGGGCGAGAGATGAGATATCAGGTGCGGACAAGGCAAACATATCTTACTTGCGATATCTCGATTGGTTGAGACTCAAGTTTTCGAGTTTGCGGAAAACATCTTGCAGGGCTTTGACTGCGATAGGACAGTGATAGATCGTACCTGCTAATCTTACGATATCACGATCGATGGTGCAAGACAGTCTTGACGCTTCATCATCAGTCCTGTCTGGGCATCACTGATAGGAGACATGCCGCCAAAGGCCTGTGAAAGCTTCGTCAAAGAGGTGGTGGTACCACTTGATGAACTTTTTTTTGACAACCCGATCTTGACTCTATCTTGGCTTCGATGCTCATAGGAAGCAACAAGCGAAAATAGATGTATTTCCAAGGATGATATGTGCGTCGAGGACTACCAACTGAATTGAACAAGCCACTTGCTAGTCTTGCCGAAAGACTTACAACAAACGATGCTTGAGTGCTAAGAAGGGGGAAATCTGCACTTCCTATCACTTAATCGGATGAGACCCCGGATATTGAGGTTCTCACCAAGATCACATGAATGCTTAAATCATCACTATCATACAATGCTCGATGAACCAGTGGAATCCCTGCTTGGCATGCTATGGACAAGTGCTTACGCCCCTCTTACCATCCTAGTAAATTGATGGGTCGAATGCTGGAGGGCTGCCACAGCTGCAGTAAACCCCCATGTCTTTAACGGTCTCGATGTTACCATGATTCTTCAATAGGTAATTCGAGCGTGGGAAGTATCTGATATCAACTCCCTTCTTGGCAGAAAGTGTGATGATCGATAGCGTCCCCGCAAAACCCCCTCTTCTGCTTGTGACTCGATGATGGGGCATAGACTGGTACATAGCGTTGGGATATGTCAGAATACAATAGACGGAGGACGTGATTGTTTCCTTTACTCATTTACCATCGTTGTTGCGATCAGCTTATATCTGCTGTCCTCCCTCGCATCTTGGACCCTCGAGAAACCAGAATACCGAACAAAAGATGGCAATCTCCCCCGAAGTAGCAGAAATCATCCGCCGCAAAAAAGCCCAATACTGCCGCTTCGCCGACACATGCGACTGGGACCGCTTCGACACAATCATGCTCCCCACCCTCACCTTCGAGGCCTTCGACTTAGACGGCAGCATCCTGATCCTCAACGGCGTCCCGTACCGCTGGACCTCGCGCGAAGCGTGGGTCGCGCACTTTAGCGAGGCCTTTAAAGTCATGCAGACGATGCACCTGACGGACGCGGGGGACCTGGAGCAGGTTTCCGAGGACGAGGTCAAGGCTGTGTTTGGGGTGATCTATCACGCTGGAACGAGGGGCTCGGAGTCGGGTTTGCATTCTACGGGCGCGGGGCATTATCATGAGACGTGGCGAAGAGTTGAGGGGGATTGGTTTATGGAGAGGTGTTGTATGAGGAGGTTGTATTCTAAGGTGATGCAGATTTGATGTTCTTATGGGTTAACGGCGGTATTTTGGGGTTGGAAGATGAATTGATGTCATGCAGATGTTAAGCCATGTTTTCCATAGTCTGAATGTAGTTGGTGGTGTTTTCTTAGTTTGGTTCGCTGCTAACCCAGAGGTTGTTGAGCTTTGAGAGAAGACAACAGATTGAATCATTTTCTATTATACCTGATGTTCTCCCAGCGGCGGCAGGGCACTATAGTATCACGGCGAATTAGCTGTATGAATAGCGTCCTGTGCCGCCGATGCCGTTTCTTTCTCCGTCTGGGCCTGTCTCCCTTCTGATGCCATCCTCCACCTCTCTTGTGACATCTCACCACTCCCTACTTTTCCCTTATTCGTTGCTGTTAGTCTTCCAATCTTAACTACGCTTTACGATTTTATCGTCGCTCCCCGTGAACCTAGTCAAAGTGGTCCAATGGTCCGATGGCCTCGAGACAAGGAGACAATCAAGCCCGGTAGAATTGTATCTCGCATGCTTATTAGAGGGCCTCCGAGCCGAGGAATACAGCACTATGACTGATCTGACATTAATACAGTATTCCGACAACGAGGCCAAAGTCGTAAATCAGTATCTAACCAATTTCCACGTACGATCATTTACGGGATCAAATTATGAGGTCCTTCGTATGTCCAAGAGAGAATGCTATTTCGTCCCTCAGCCTTTGGTAACTCGCACATGATCCTTTGGCAAAAGCTGCTCCGACGAGAGCCACGATGCCATGTTGTCGAATTCACTCTCAATTTGCCCAAGTAACTTAATGCGCTGTCTGTATATAGCCATAGAAGTTGATCTTGAATTGATTTCAATCCATTTCAATACACCAATCAAGTAAAATCCGACATCAGTACCATCATCCTTGGAAGAATGACCGCAAATCGCCCAACCGGCCACTTGAGAGGCACATGTAGCCTCAGTGAAAGGAAACAAACAATGAGAAGAGGGACAAGCTGGCAGCGAAGGATCTCAGCACAACCAAGTGCTTTTCTGAAGACTTCCACAAACAATGCCCACCGAAGCGTGGTGAACAGCTTACTTAGAGAGGATAAGACGGCATTCTCCGTGTGAGACATGGCGGGCGCTGCCAAGTTGAGATCTCAGATCTTAAAATCACGACCAGGGACGTCTGAAAGGTATGATTGAAAAATTTGGCTTGACAAACGGGGAAAATGGTCTCTTTTGGTGCATGATGGGAAGATCAAGTATGACCTAATTGCTCCCCACATCGAAACAACGAGCTGGACAAAGTTGGAAGACATTTTTTCGTTTGAGGACTTTCTTTTTGAGTCTCTTAACTTGTGCAAATAGCCAAGCGAGAGGAACTGTACAATGTCCTTTGGCCTAGAGTCACCCGTCTGACCTTTCAACACGTGAAGAGAATGTTTACTTCTGAATGATGGCTACTCCAAACGCCAGACGAAACATGAAGATGACCCGGGAGCACAATGAGAGCCACAGAAACTGTGGAGATCTGGACACGCCCGACAAATTGCTGGGGAAAGCCCTGCCAGGCCTGGATGTGTCTCCGTCGTTGTATCTGGACCCTTGTGTGGAATGTTGCCTTTAAAAAAGCCGAGCTGACAGAATTGGCCCGTGAAACAAAACACCGTACGCCGCCTTTATCGATATGCAAGCCCTTAGCTCCGCAAGGCCTCCAGTCTGTTGCGCATCTGATTCATCATAGCCTCGGCATCCTCTTCCTCCTCCTCGACCTCGACCGGCTTGGGTTCTTGCGTGACCGGCGCAGCGGGGAGCTTCTCCTTGGACATGCGGTCCTTGAGAATCTCGCCGAGGACCTTGTCGACCTCGCCCTCGGCCTCCTCCTCTTCGAACTCGTCCATGTCCTCGGGCAGACTCTCGCCCACCATCTCCTCGATAATCCCGGCCTTCATCAACTCCGCGCTGAGTTCCTGCATCGTGCCGGCCAGCTCAGGTAGCCGAATCAAACGGTTGACGTCCTTCATCACGCCGACGCTCGCGCGGATGCTGCCCTCAATCTTCCTCACGGCAAACGCCTCGTTGACCTGCATTTGCACGCTGTTCAGTTGCGCCTTGGAAGTGACTAGACGATTGCTCGTCTTGCGCGCGCGGATGAGTTCCCGCGCAAAGTCGCGCGCCTCCTTCTGTGCTTGTTTCTGTCTCGTCGGGTCTCGTTGGGCTCGCTTATCGGCTTGGAGGATGAGGTTCTTCGTCTTGGCCTCGACTTGCCTGACTTGGTTGATGTCGCGGTCGAGTTTACGTATATTCGAGCGAATGAGAGCGTTGCATTTCCGCAGCTGTTCAGATACAAACTCATTAGAAATTTCCCAAGGCACTGCTGCCACGACGGGCGTAATCTACCTGTTGCTGCGGATCAGGCTTGACGAATATGGCTCTCAGCGTCTCCATGTTGTGCGGATCGACAAGCAAAAGGGCCGAAGGAAACCGTCAATACAGAGAGCCTAGGATACCGAGGCTTCGTGATGGTATGTAGTGAATGGTTCTTCGTAGCGCGTTGTGTTAGGCTGTCGCCAGCCTCGTCGTTTGCCAGGTTCAATCAGCGCTGCCTTGGGTTGGGAAGCGATGTGTCGTCATTCCCTGCTTGCCGCATCGACTGATACGGCTTGTAGTGGGGGATAGTCGTCACGTGGGGAAAGTGTGATTGATATGCACTTAACCAACTGAGTGCAAGTAAGGAGGGAATGCATCTGACGAGTACCGCATTAAGCGAGTGGATGGTTGACGCTGGATGGGGGCCTGGAGAGCTTCGGCTGACTGAACTGGCACCTTGGCAGTAACAAGAAACACACTTTGAGTTAATGACTGCAGCGTTTAGTTCATCCTGAAATCTCAATGCCATTCAATCGGTACCCATTGGCAGGATGAGAGGTCTCTCAGTCGAATGAGAAGATGCTCGCCCCTGTGTCATCCAGCGGACAGTTTGGGAATCCGAGTGCGGGCACTGAGGTAGGCGAATCGCACGTTCCGGGCGGCCCGTATTGCAGCAAATGAGACCCCTGGTGGATAAGAAATCGGCAAGGGCCCTGTATGATCTCACTGCCTGCCTTGACCCGCGTCGGAAGACAAGGCGAAGTTAAGCTGTCGTGGCTGGCTACCTACCTACCTTATACATAGATGGATGCCAAGTAGTTGGATGCTCAGGCCCGGTTGGATGACAGCTCCGACGCTGAGGGACCTGGGAATCAGAATGAAGAACAGACTTTCGTCTCGCCAGAAGATCAAAGATTCCAGATCGCCTTACATTAGTTGACACAAGGGAACAGACTGCTCCAGGTCGATTTTGTTGTGTGCATGCGTCTGCCATGATGCGCCTCACCAGGAGCTGCAGGCAAGCAAC